TAACAGACTAGCCATCGCGCGAGACATGACAACGAGAGACAGTCGAAATCGTAAGTATTTATAAATTTTTTAATTTGAATACTTAATTTTTAGCCATACGTTATCGAACTAACACATTATTATTTAATTTCAAAGGTGATTGTGGCATGTTCGTAATCAAGTATATTAAATTTTATTATATAACACAAGATTGATGTAATCAACCAATCCTGTATACACAATTAGAGGAAGAAGTTAGCGTGCGATTTGTATGAATTCAATTGTGATCCATAGTACATGTATATTGTTTTTTTCGAAAATGTAAATATTTATTTTTTAATTTGAAATTGCTGTATATTGCATATTGTTTCTTAAAAAAATGTAAATATTGTCCATTTAATTGTTTATTTAATTGTGATCCACAATAAATTTTATATTATTTTAATTGTATGAAAACAAATTATGGGAAGCAAATTGCAACTTTCTAATATCTGATTTGGAATATGAAACTGTGATCGAAAATTAAATAGGACCGATTGGAAGCAATTGTAAGTTCAGATTTATATAATAGATGATTTGGGGAAAAAAATTATAAAAGGGAAAAATCCAGTTGTTAACAGCCAGCCCATCCGACTTTTTAGGTTTTTTTAAATATAATTTTCCTCGAATCATCTATTATAGAAAGTTGCAATTAGGTCCCTAGAATATTCAATCGAATATTTAACAACAACAGTAGTGTGGGAAACAAACAAATTACTTTTAACAACGATAGATTACACATCCGTCTAATTGTTACTTAAGGGAATCTGACTTGTACAAAATTAGCGAGTACGTCTTGCTGCTTTGCATCGCCCCACCTACACGGTCGAGAAAACTCTCTGACAGATAGTATTCTAGACATACGTAGACGTTCGGACCGCGAAGTTAAACTTCGGGTGGTAACAAACTATTAAGTAGGAGAATATGGTCTGAAACTTCCCACTCGATTTTATTCGATAGAAGAAATATAGCCTCAGTATACTGCTCTCTAATAATCAGTCGTGTAATAAAGAGAGCATTAGGTTCTCGTTGTAAAGCTTCTATACATAGCCACTGCGACTGCATGTTCACTTGGAAAATTCCCCAACCGAAATAGATAACAAGTGCAGGTGCTATCAGTCTAGTCCATCATATATTCGATATTACGTCCACGTTTCAGGGAGAAGCGCAACTTATCATGTGGTTCCACATTTAACTTTCACGCAACCTCTACACCTTGAAGAGTTTACCTTCCTAAACCGTGGTTAGCACGCTCGTACAACTTTGTGATTCCATACGTTGATCATAAAACCACTACTATAGCTTGTTACGAATGTTCTCAATCATTACGATGATTGGTAACTCTCGATCCTTTTTGAATAATGCATTGAACAACTCCGCATTATTTGGCGTCATCGTGTTGTATTAACGTCTTGAAAAATGTAACCGCGCCCAATATTCAATTCCCATTTTTGTTAGATAATCCCATGTTGGGAATGATTTACTTTCTATTTCAACCATGAATTTATTATACTCTTCAACATTGTAAGCTTCTGTTGTTCTCCTAAACTATTAAACGATGTCTCTGCCACGATACTTAGTCTTCTGGTTGCCTTGTATATGGTACATGCAATACCCATGATATGTTTTGAAAAAAACTTCAGCTATATCATTTTTATAGACAGTCCCTGATCAGTTACAAAAGCAAGGTCCTCGATATCCCTAATGACTTTCCTCAGCTTTGTGAGGAACCAACGCATCGATGATCATTTTCGCTATCGACTATACCGAATGCAAGAGGGTAAATTTGTATGTTGGCATATTGACATGTAGCAATAATCAACTTGCCTTGATATCTAGCTTTCAGAGTTGTACCGTCAACGAGAATTAGGGGTTGCATCGCATTTCGAAATCTTCGAATGCATTGTCCAAGGGCTATGAAGAAAAAGCTTGAAGTAATTCTCATCCTCCGTCTAAATAAAAAATGCAGAGCCAGAATTAGTTGTCCCCATGTTATGGCAATACCTGACCAATTTAGCATAACTTTCCTCGGTTGAGACTATTAAATCCTCTAATACGCATTCTTTGACCTTCTGGTAGCTCATGAGCACCTAATACTCTCGAAATGACGTCATTAATGATGTCTAAAGGTCTATAGATCGTCTGTTGGTCCTGATACTTGTAGATTATCCGTCGACTAATAAACCATGCTCGAGCTTGCATGTGATCATTTCTACGAATTCCCACTTCGCAAGTATGTCCCCTTGTATATTTGTGAACTATAAATAACTCATTTGTGTCCATATTCGTCGCTCACGAATACCAACTGCAACTGTCGTTGAAGTAGATAATTGTCAACAATGACTTGCTTGATTTCTTCACTTTGAACTCAAAAATGTATTTCAATGCAATATGGTGAACAACTTCCTACAAATCTTTCTTCGTTGAAAACACTTGTTAGACGTGCAAATCTTCATCGTCGGGAACCACATGCAAAGAATTAGAGGATGGTCTACTCGATTCAGTCTTTGTGTTCCCATCTCACTCATGTCTCTGACATGATAAATGAATCAAATCCTCATTTGTAAATTTATTTTCATTCTCGTTATCGTGAACTACAGAGTGAATTCTGGGCGAAAGAGCAAGATTACGGTGAGGAACAACTATCTCTTGAATAACCACATCATCCTCATCGACTATCTTTATTGTGTCCCAAAAATCATTGGTATTATGATCTCCTCCTTCAAAATCTTCGTATTCACCTTCGGCGACATCTTCCTCACTAAAGTCTCGCAAAGAGGAGTCGTGTACATTTTATTTAATTCAAATAGATAATTTACTTCAGCATCAGTAAGTTAAGTAACCTTCATAGGTGGAATGAAATGGATGAATGCTCGTTAAATAGAAATCTTAGTTCCATATTGTATTGAGAGGGATCCACTTTTAGCTTGTTTTGTAAATCATGGTACATTTCCGCATATTGATGTAATGATATTATGAACGTTGGAATACCACCACATATACCATTCTTCTATTTCCATACCCATCGATCTTTTTATCCAATTCGAAATCACTAAAGTAACAAATTATGATTACAACCATATCTGTATGGCGAAACATAATTTTTAATTATTAAAAAAATATTGAAAAGTCGGCCAGCCACTAGGCAACATAATTTTTAATTAAAAAATTGTCGGAAAGTCGACTTAACAGCCGGCCCAGCCACCTTGGCTGGCTGTTAATTGCCAACTGGGCTGGCTGTTAACAGTCGGTCCAATCCCCTTTGCACATTGACATGAATATGGTCTGAAAGAATATACATACGATGAATTTTTTTCTCGTTTTTGCTTAAAAAATTATAGATCCGTTAAAAAAATTTATCTACATATTTATCTATGTAGAAATAAGATTTATCGATTAAAAAGTATATCAATGTAACGAAAACGAAACTAAACATATGTAAATATACTTACCGATTCGAAGTGATAGATATAAAAAAAAATTTCTTGTCCAACGTTTGATTAATTTATGAGATTTTGATGTTGAAACAAATGAAAAATGAAAGAGTTTATCTATGTTAGAAAAAAAAGATAAGAAAAGTTAGTTGATTTTGAAATCTTAAGAAGTGTTTGGTTTTTACTTGTTAACTAAAAGTGTAATATTATTTTTTGAACAAAATAATATTTTATAATTGTATAACATACTTAAGGGCATCTTTTTTTTTTTTAAATATCCTACGAGCCTGTAATTGTTGAAAACTCAAAGTAAGAATTAGAGAGTTTGACTAAGCCAAACTTAGCCCCTGTTTGGCCCTCGTTTTTTCTTATTACATTTCATTTTCTTGGGTCAAAAATGTAGGTAGCTGGGACCCACTGACTATTTCACTACAAAGTTGTGTACGTTTCTGTATATGTCCTTGACTTTCTCATATTTTAAAAGCACCATTAAGCCACTAATGACAATATTGCCCCTACCTTTTTTTGACAATGTTGAATTGCAGCCAGCACATGAGAAAGAGGGCATTTTCGTCCTTCACTGTCAACGGTTGTATTGTACAGGGTCAGGCCTGACACGCACGTGGAGTGATTTAGACAAGTAGTTGACAAGTTGTTTTGTGGAAAAGTGTGAAAATGAAATTTAATGAGAAAAAAGGGGGGCCAAACAGGGGCTTAAAATTCCCCAGGCTGGGGCTGGGGTGTAGCACTTCGCAAGTGCACTCTAGGTGTGATTCTGTTTAATCTTCAGTGTTGCGAAAGACCAGATAGAGTTTTTAGGCGACAGGACTTTGTGGCCATAGTGAAGATTTAGAGAAGGTGATTTTGAGTGAGACCTAACTTTGCGAGTTTTCTTTAACAATTTTTTGGTTCTTCTTTACTTCTGGAGGCATGGTTTAAACAGAGTCTTCTAACTAAATCAAGAGAAAAAACATCACAAACCTTGGCCTACTAACTTATGAAAAGAATATTCTATTCGTTTGTTTGTTTAGTCTTTAACCATAGCTATAAAAAAAACAAGTTTTGGGGCCGAAGATTTACTAGTTACATGGTTTTTATGTATATGGTTTTAAAAGTTCTGCATTCAAGCGAAAAAAATTTAAATCTTCTATTTCTATAAAATATTTGCTATGATTTTTTATTTTTAA